TTCTTTAATCCCGAACGATCCGAGCAAGGAAAATTAGCACCCTTACCGGGAATTGCTTTTCGCTCGCTATTCGCTTGCTTTCGCGTATCAAATTCAAAAAAAGAAATAGCGAGCAAATAGTGAATTTTCCGAGGAAAATTCGAAATTTCGCATTTTTTCTTTAATCCCGAACGATCCGAGCAAGGAAAATTAGCACCTTTACCGGGAAAATTGTTTTTCGCTCGCCATTCGCTTGCTTTTGCGTATCAAATTCAAAAAAGAAAATAGCGAGCGAATAGTGATTTTTCAGACTGTGGTCCCGAACAATCCGAGCAAGGAAAATTAGCACCTTTATTGGGAAAATTGCTATTCGCTTGCTTTTGCGTATCAAATGCAAAAAGGGAAATAGCGAGCGAATAGTGATTTTTCCGAGGAAAATTGGAAATTTCGCATTTTCTCTTTAATCCCCAACGATCCGAGCAAGGAAAATTAGCACCTTTATTGGGAAAATTGCTTTTCGCTCGCTATTCGCTTGCTTTCGCGTATCAAATTCAAAAAAAGAAATAGCGAGCGAATAGTGATTTTTCCGAGGAAAATTGGAAATTTCGCATTTTCTCTTTAATCCCGAACGATCCGAGCAAGGAAAATTAGCACCTTTATTGGGAAAATTGCTTTTCGCTCGCTATTCGCTTGCTTTTGCGTATCAAATTCAAAAAAAGAAATAGCGAGCGAATAGTGATTTTTCCGAGGAAAATTCGAAATTTCGCATTTTTTCTTTAATCCCGAACGATCCGAGCAAGGAAAATTAGCACCTTTACCGGGAAAATTGCTTTTTGCTCGCTATTCGCTTGCTTTTGCGTATCAAATTCAAAAAAAGAAATAGCGAGCGAATAGTGATTTTTCCGAGGAAAATTCGAAATTTCGCATTTTTTCTTCAATCCCGAAAGATCCGAGCAAGGAAAATTAGCACCTTTACCAGGAAAATTCCTTTTCGCTCGCTATTCGCTTGCTTTTGCGTATCAAATTCAAAAAAAGAAATAGCGAGCGAATAGCGATTTTTCCGCGGAAAATTCGAAATTTCGCATTTTTTCTTTTTAATCCCGAACGATCCGAGCAAGGAAAATTAGCACCTTTATTGGGAAAATTGCTTTTCGCTCGCTATTCGCTTGCTTTTGCGTACTCAAATTCAAAAAGGAAAATAGCGAGCGAATAAGGATTTTTCCGACGGAAAATTCGAAACTTCGCATTTTTCTTTAATCCCGAACGATCCGAGCAAGGAAAATTAGCACCTTTATTGGGAAAATTGCTTTTCGCTCGCTATTCGCTTGCTTTTGCGTATCAAATTCAAA